AAAACCACCCCAGCCCAAGCCGAAGGCCTCAGTGTTCCCTCCATGTCCAGTGAGGGGGGGGAGGGTCGGGGGACGTTGAACAAACGCACACGGGATCCGTACCCCCCCCCAAAAAAAACCCGAAGTTCGGGTCAGATTCGGGTCTTCGGGTTGTGGGCTGGGGTGGTCTGGTAGGCAGTCAACAGGGGCGCCCTCGAGGGCGCGAAGTTACTCGCGCTTCCGTCTTCGCGGTTCGGCTCCGATGCCTCGTCCTCCTCTGCTCCTTTGAGATGCGGCGCGGGGGCGCGAAGTCATTCGCGCTTCGCGCAGCGCGCAGCGCGAGGCGCGGAGTTGGGAGCCCTTGTGGCTTCAACGGGGGGAAGAACCCCCCCGACCCGATAATTTTAGGCGATGGCGAAGCGTCCTGGCTCGCCTGCGGGCCCACCACAAGAATGTTCTGGGGGCCTTTTGAGGTCATGCAGGACATGTTATCATAACACTTCTGGCTGACGCTGTCTTGTTTCCGCACAGCAGATTTACGTTCTAAGCACACTGTTTTGTTCTTGATATATTTTGGGGTTGAAAGAAATGTTGTGGTAGTCCTATAGGAATGCCGGGACGGTCGGGTCGGTCCCTGCTTAACAATTGGTGTTTGCTAAAAGGCACTTGGGCGTTTATTGAACAGCCCTGCCCTGTAAGATCCCTTCTCTGAGTGCGTTTACTACGCGGCCTCGCGTGTCGGGGTGATTCCAGTGAGGGCGGATGTTCTGTTCTCTCGATGGATTCTGATGAGGGGGAGCCGCCACCAGCACTCGCACGTGTGGGAACGATTGCGCCCCACTGATCTCAGAGGAGGAGCATGTACCCATACCGCTGCCCTTCCCTCGTTTTCGCCTCTTTGGGGCCTCCTGGGAGGCCCTCGTCGCCACTGCTGAATTCGCCTCGAAGTCCTGGTCAGAGCGCACCTCGGGAGACGTCCAGGGAGTGGCGGTATCGGTACTTTTTGGCCTCTCCGGCACCCGCGCGTGTGGGAACGATGGCTTCCCGCAGATCGACGGCGAGCCCCGGGGGGGAAGCGAGAAGGAGAGCGCCTTCTCAGAAGGCTCGGACGTGTCCCCCGTCTTTCTGGGGAGTTGCCTAGGGCGCAGGGGATTTCGCAGAAGGCGCGAGGGTTTCTGAGAAGTCCAGCCGCCTTCTGAGCAGGCCTTCTCCTTCTCACTTCCTCCTCGCTCGCCGCCGAGGGATGGCCACGAAAACACCCGTTCCAGGGGCTACGCCGTGGTCGTCTCCCTTTGGGGTGCCACACGGCCAGAGCATTTTGCGACCCGCGGGTGGGCCGGCGCCTCGCTCCCCGCAGGACATCACACACTTTGTTGCGCGGCCCCTGGATGCCAATACTTCGTTCCAGAGCGCCGAGACAAGTGCGCGCATGCCAGTGCTCATTTGTTTTTCTTTCTCCCCAAGAGCAGAACAGGTCGCGCACGCGCGCACCCAGTGCGAGGAGGAGGAGGAGGAGGAGGAGGAGGAGGAGGAGGAGGAGGAGGAGGAGGGCGAAGGGGGAGAGAGGAAGGGAGAAGGAGAAGGAGGAGGAGGGAAGGGAGGAGGAGGAGAAGGGGAGAGCGAGGGGAGAGGGAGGAGGAGGAGGAGGAGGAGGAGGAGGAGGAGGAGGAGGAGGAGGGAGCAGGGAGGAGGGAAGCAGGGAGCAGGGAGGAGGGAGGAAGGGAGCAGGGAGCGAGGGAGGGGAGGGAACGAGGAGGGCGGGAGGACGCCATGGGAGGCCCGCTCCTCCGGCGCCCCCTGGCGGCGCTGGGCGCGGCCGCCGTGGCCGCGGCGGCGCTGTGGGCGTGCTCGCGGGCGGGGCGCCCGAGCGGAGGCGCCCTCGGCGGCGGGGGCGCGGCAGGGCGACGAGGAGGGGGGCGAGGGGGGAGGGAGCAGGGGAGGAGGGAGGGAGGGGCGAGGGAGGAGGGGGGGGCGAGGGAAGAAGAGGAGGGAGGAGGGGGAAGGAGGGAGGAGGGAGGATGATGGGGGCGAGGGAGGAGGGAGGAGGGAGGGGGGCTCGGTGTGCGGTCAGAAGATCGTCGGTCGCCGTGCCGTCCCGCCGGCTCTGGCCCACCACGCTTCGGCACGGCGCGCTACCCACTGCCCGATCGCTGGTCTTCAACGTCCCGAGCTGTTCCCAGCTTTCCGCCCCACGGAGCGGAGCGACACGCGCTATCCGCTCGCAAGGAATACCGTGTCGCCAGGGCCGCCGTTGCGGCACGCTATGTGAGAGTTCCGAACCCTGCGCACCACGTCGTTTGGTCGGCCAGCTCGGCGAAGGAGCTCGGTGCAGAGACGCTCCGGCGTCCCACAGGTTGAGCAGCTGGCGCGTCTACACACTGGGCTCATTGGCCGCCCAAACGGCGTGATGTATGCATCGAACCCCTCCCACGGGTCGAATAATAAGAACACGTCGATGTAAACATGAGCATTTCGATGTCCCACAATTTCTGTTTACGCAGTTGTGTCTTCTAGAGGAGGGAATGAGGACGCAGAAAGGAGGGAGTCAGAGGAGGAAGAGGTACCGATGCGATTACCATTCACTCGTGTTCGCCTTTTTGGGCCTCCAGAGAGAGCCCTGCTCGGCAGGGCTGGACTCGCCTCAAAATCCTCGTCAGAACGCACCCTGGGGGAAGTCCAGGGAGTAGCGGGACTGGTACCTTCAGGCCAGATTAAGTACCAACACCTCTACATTGGATATGCTTTCACCTGTTTGGGCCTCCTGTGAGGTCCTCGTCGCCACGGCTGGAATCCCTCTTTTGAATTCTGGTCAGCAAGCATCCTTACAGAGGTCCTGGACTTAGCGGTGTCGGGACCTTTCTGGTCCCCCAAAGGTGAGGCGAGAAAGTAGGAGGACGCGCCTTGGGGCAAGAGGCCGTGGTGCCCTCTCCAGTTGACCAGGCGTGTTTAGCCCGCCACTGTTTTCATTTCGCTTGGCATCGCTGGGACGTGTGCATTTGTTCTCGACGAGGACCATCGAGGAGCATCCTGGATCATCGAGCCAAAACACACACACACAACTGAAACATACACAGGGAAGAGCGGTGGCAAGTTCGTCTGCCCCTCCTCTGGGCGAATTGGAGGCGGTGGTTGTGGTGCATGTTCTTGGGACCCGCACCTCTCTGTTTCCTCTGTTGGGGCCAGCGGGGAGCCAGCGGCAGCCCGGGGAAGCAGATGGCGTCTTCGCTGGCGGGAGCCAGCGGAAGTGAAAGCCTTTTGGGCCGCCGCCTGCTGCTCGCTCCCTCCCGCCTCGACGAGCCTCATATCTCTCCCTCAACCCCGCCCAGACCCGCCACCCAGCAGCAGGCTGGGCTCGAGAGATCTTCCAGCAGTTCTGGATGACCCCCCCCCCTCTCCGGTCCAAAGTGGGGGGGGGGGTCACCTGGGGCCGCGCGGAAGCGCGGGGGCTGTCGTGCCTATCTGGAGCGTCGCCTCGTCCTGTGTCCTCTCGTCCCACGCCGGGGGGCAACCCGTCGGCGTCCAAGCCCTGGGGTTGGGCGGCGCCTCGGTCCGTGTTGCGCGGATGTGCTCGCCTTTGCTGGTCGGCAGGCAGATGTCCGTATACATCGGGGCTGGACAGAACCCCCAATAGTGACACGTCGATTAGTGAATTGTCCGTTTTCGGTTCTCGAGAGGGCGCCGTGGCCGTCAGTTTCCAGGCTTTCGCCCGCCAGATTTGGGCCCGAGGTCGTTTTCACTAAACCACGTTTTGCTAAAGGGGGTTCTGTCCATCCCCGAATACATGTCCTTTGGGCTCTAGTTTGTGTAGGCCTTGTGGACCTGGTGGATGTCACCGTTGGGGTGGTCAGTCCATGGCCGTCCTGCAGGAGAGCGTGGCCAGAAAGTATCCTCACTGTACCGCGGCCTGCGCATGTCCGTTAGCACCTTGGCTTCAGTGTGCGCTGTCGATGCTCGGGATGGTCTCAGTGGTTTCGGTGTTAGCGCCGATGGATTCGATCTCCTCGCGCTCGTCGGCGCGGTGCTTACTGCCGTCACTGCCTTCATCAGAGCGCGCGTCTGTATGTAGCTGGTCGCTGGATCGGCTCTGTGCGGCGGCCTCGACGTCGACGTCGGCGCGCGTTGGTGGCAGCGCCTTCTGCTGAGGTGGTGGCAGTCAGATGGCCGCTGGCGTCGGCGCAGCCGTGTGAGTATCGTCGATGCTCGTGCTCCTTGGCGATGGCCGGCTTCTCTTCGTCGTCGGCGTAGGGCTCCTCTTGGGGATAGAGATGGGGGGAGCCTTGTGGCGCGCAGCTTTGTATGCTCGATCGGCGCGTGCGTGCCGTCGGCAGTGTCCGTTGCCGGCGCGGTGACCTGCTGCGTGGCTGCGGGTGCAGCTTGTATCTGTGTCGCCTCGGGAGTGGATGCGCGCTCGTACTGTGTGTTTGTGCCTAGTGCGGCTCGTCGGCGGCGAGGACTTCCTCGGTGCGAGGGGGCACCTGGTCGTAGACGTCACATCATCTTACTCATGCTGTCGCGTGTGATGATGTCGGTGCAGGTGCACCTGTTGCACTTCCCTTCTCTCGGGTCTCCCATTATGCACCATCGTACTCCGCAGTCCCTGCTAACTGCCGTAGGTTCGCTTTCAGCTGGAGTCGGGGCGACGGAGCTGGATCCTGGCTTGTTTTGCGCGTAATTTGTCAGCGCCGTCTTAGATGTCCCATGGTTATTCCATGACCCGTCCCATGTTGATGGTGTCCGTGATTATGTCCCTCGCTATATGGCGTACCGCCTGTGCGGCTCGTAGCAACGGGTTCCCGAAATGCAGTTGGTGAGGCTTGGAGGCTTCGTCGCCCTGGCTGATCTGGCAGATGGCGAGGATGACCTCTCTTGCGGAACTCCATGTCGCTGTTGTGGTTGTTCTGGTATCGCAGTGGGTGTAGCTGCTCGGGTGGCGTGGCGTCGATGACCTCGTTGACCTTCGCGGGTGGTGGTCCTGACTGAATTGGTGGTCTGGGCTCGTCGCCGTTTGCCTTGCACGGGGGATGGGGGTTGCTTACGCAGTCGCCCACGGTCGCGCTGCAGTACCTGAAGGTATCCTTGCTGTCTTTGATTGGCGCCTCATCCGTGGTGTTCGTAGCTTCCAGTTCTCTGGGAACTCCCATGTGGACTCGTTGGTTTGTGGATTCTGGCAGTATGCCGCAGTCATGTCGTCCTCGGGGCACGCTATCCATGGGTCTGGCAGCTGCATGTGGTGTGACTTCAGTGCTGGCCGTCCTGCATACGTGTTGGGAGTGTCGAGATTGCGCGCCTTCGGCTCGAAGATCAGGGGTGTGGCTATTCTTGATTCGTATGGATTGTATCTTGGTCGCGTGTCGGGCTGGCTCTGCTCAACCTTCTGGTGCGTCGTCCACTGGGATTGTTGATGGTGTTGGCTTGGCTGCCAGTACTATCGCTGTCGTCGCAATCGGCTGGCAGTGTTGGACGGCTTGGGCCCTCCTCCTCGTCCTCCTCCTCCTCATCATCCTCTTCCTCGTCTTCCTCTGCTTCTCCCCCTCCTCTCTCCTCCCTCGTTTTTGGGGTTAGCAGAGTGCTCGTATGCAGTGAGATGAAGCAGAAGTGCCCATCAGGGCTTGCTTGGCGTCGTTGCGCGAGCCTGTCTGCCTTTTGGGGGTCGGAGCCCGCGGACCTTCTCCTCCTCCTCCTCCTCCTCCTCCTCCTCCTCCTCCTCCTCCTCTTCCTCCTCCCCTCCTCCTCCTCCTCCTCCTCCTCCTCCTCTCTCCTCCTCCCCTCTTCCTCCTCCTCCTCCCCTCCTCCTCCTCCTCTCCTCCTCCTCCTCCTCCTCCTCCTTCCTCCTCCTCCTCCTCCTCCTCCCTCCTCCCTCCTCCTCCTCCTCTTCCCCCCCATGCTCATCACCCTCCAGCTTCTCCATCAGACACAGAGACACGCGCACCGACCCCGATCTGACAATCTGCCACACCGTGCCCCAGCCCACCCAGACACCACCACCCTCCTCCTCCTCACTCCTCCCTCCTTCCTCCTCCTCCTCATCATCATCATCATCATCATCATCATCATCATCATCATCCATCATCATCATCATCATCATCATCATCATCATCATCATCATCATTCATCATCTCATCATCATAATCTATCATTCATCATCTATCATCCTCATCGTCATCGTCATTCGTCATTCATCATCATCATCATCATCATCACCATCATCATCATCATCATCATCGTCATCATCATCATCATCATCTTCATCATCATCATCATCATCATCATCATCATCATCATCATCATCATCAACATCATCATCATCATCATCATCATCGTCATCGTCATCGTTATCGTTATCGTTATCGTTATCGTCATCGTCGTCGTCATCGTCATCGTCATCGTCATCGTCATCATCTTACTCTTCGTTGTCTTCCTCCGCCCTTCAAGGCCTGCGGAATCAGCACTCGCGGCCCGAGGAAGCCATCGAGGCGTTCCCGAACCCGCTGGAGAAGCTGAAGGCCCGACGGGGTGGGGGAGAAAGGCCACAGCCCTCCTGCAGGCGAGGCAGCCACATCGCAGCGGGCCTTTTTGTTCCGTAACCGGTTGGCGTTTTGGGGCCCTCCCGGGGTCCAGGAGCCTACCGAAGCCTTCCGTCGGCGACGCACCCGTCCGGGGAAGGGCTCTAAGGGTTCCACGGCGGGCGCCGTGAGCTTGGTATCGGTCGGACGTGTGCGTTTTTCCTTCGGCGGGGACCATCGAGGAGCACCCTTGATCATCTGGCGGAAAACCACGCACGAAACCGACAAAAAACACAGGGAATGGACGTCCGAGCGATGGCCAGTGAGACGTCCTCGACCTCGGAGGTCTGTGGCTCCCCCGAGGGGTCACACGCCTCCCGGCCGTGCCCCTACAGGGACGCAGGCGGCCCTCCGAGGGCAGGCATGCACTGCCGGTCTCCCCCAGCGGCATGGATTACCAGCCTCGAACGTATCCCTATCCCTGAGATTGACACGCTAAAAGGCGATGACAATCTTAGGGATTCGCCCTCAAAAAATAAGGGAATCCCTAAGATTGGCATCGTAATGAGGAGGTGCCCAGCATAGGGATAGGGATATGTTCCAGGCTGGTAAATGGAGGGATCTGCGCACCAGACCTGTCCCTCTGGAGGGTGATCGGTCCCCGAGAGGGGGGGGGGGGGCAGGATTGGTGTCCGGATCTCCCTGGGGCCCCCAGAAGGACAGCGTGGTGGGCCTGCACGCAGCGAGCAGTAGGCCTCGGAAGCTGGGCGAGGGCTGGCAAATCCGTGGCTGCTAAAACGGCCTTCCCGGAAGGAAAGAACAAATTCCTGGAATAAAAATCAGCGCGCTAAATAGAAAACGGGCTGCTTCCCAGAATAAAAGGGACGATTTCCCGGGTTTCCGTTTTTGCAGCCACGGGTTTGCCAGCCTTCGCCTGCCTTCTGGGTGCCGCCACCCCCCGCCCCCCCTGTTTGGAGCGACGGTGGGCCTGCGCGCAGCAGCAGCCGATAATGTAATTCCAGCAGCCCCGCCGGCCTTTCCAAGAGCCATTTCGAAGTGATCGCGGGACGTCCGCACACGATTCAATTCAGGCTCCGGTGCAAAGTGCATGCTCATGCTGCTTTCTTTTTGCAGGGGACGGTTGTGTGTGAAGACCGCTCATATCACCTTTCTATCCATTTATCCTGCTATCCCCTCGGCTCGGGTACTGGACACCTTGCGCGCCCTTGATTCCGCGGGCGCATGGAGAAAAGAGACTCTTCTTTTCTCCCGATCGTCCTCTACCTACGGACCCCACGGTGGGTTCGACTCATTGGTCGTCAGCCTCCGTTCGCAATGGTTGGGGGATCGCCCACAGCAAGCAATATGTCGGCCCCCCGCCGTCCCTGTATCGTTTCAGTTGCGAGCGGCGGATTGGATGGCGTCGGCATCGGCCTGGATGGGTCGCTGGCCGAGTGGGGGAGGGGGCGTACGTTGTTGAGGTGCAGTGGAACCCCCGCTTCAGAAGGGGAAGGAGGGGGTTGGAGAATTTGCCTCGTGAAATCACCGGTGCCCAGAGGGTTGGTACGATTGTGTGTGGTGTGATGTTGCTCCTGATGACGATAATGGCACGTATGCGTGAGATGATGCAGCTTACGGCGATGGCGACGATACTCATGTGTTTGTATGTGTGCGTGTGGGTACGGTGTTGGTGATGATACTGATGACACGTGCATTGGTAGCGATGTCGTTGGCGATGATAATGATGATGGCGTTGATGAGGGTGATGATGTTGATGATGGTGCTGCTGTTGATGATGATGTTGATGCTTATGCTGATGCTGCAGCTGGTGTTGGTGTTGGTGATTGCGATTGTGATGGTGATGGTGGTGGTTGTGATAATCCTCATGTTAACACTGATGTTAAGGGTGATTAGTGTGGTAAGTTGTGCACTGATGATGATGATGGCGATGATGACGGTGACTATGACCATGGCGATGCCAATGATGGCGATGCTGGTGGTGATGGTGACAACTGCGTGGGTGCGTTTGTTGCAGGGAGAGCAGGACTGCGTCCGCCGAGATCTGCTCACAGCCGTTGCACTCCCCGGGGAGAGGGAGAGACGCCGGCCGCACGCATATGTTTCCGACGAGGCGCCCGCAGGGTGCACGACAGCGGTCGTGCTATATTAATCAGAGTGATGGGGGCCGAACGGTCGGCTCCTCCTCCTCCTCCTCCTCCTCCATGTCTGCTCCTCCTCGCCCTCCCCCTCCCCTCACTCCTCATCCTCCTCCTCCTCGCCCCCTCCTCCTCCTCCTCCTCCTCCTCCTCCTCCTCCTCCTCCTCCTCCTGCTCCTCCTCCTCCTCCTCCTCCTCCTCCTCCTCCTCCTCCTCCTCAGAGTGATGGGGGCCGAACGGTCGTGCACTGCCCCTGGGCGCGTGGCCGAAATGAGGCTCTGCGGTGCGGATTCCTGCTGTTGGTGTTGGTGGTGGTGTTGTTGTTGTTGGTGTTGCTGGTGCTGTTGTTGTTTTTGTCATGTTGGTGTTGCTGTTGAACATTATTTCTTCTTAAGAATAATTATTGTTGGGGCCCCTGGTGCGCGACCCCCCCGCCGCGCCTAGGCCGCAGCCACGTTTTCGTCATTTTCGTGAGGAAGTCTCTGACAAAACGATGTGATCCAGATCCGGTTGTGTTGTTACGATCGGTTTTCCCTTGCAAAAAACAAGCTAAAGTGGACATTTCTTGTTCTAACATATCCAAACTTCAAGAATCCCTTGCAACAGATAAGGTAAAGTGGACATTCGCGCGCGCAAGACGAAATCCTTCCAAAACCTTAGTTTTCGTATCGATTTTAACATAAAACCATCAAACAACCAATGGTTTTTCAAAGAAAAATTAGCCTGGCGAAGGACCCAACCATTTGCAACTGTGAATACCGCAAGTGTGAATATCGTTTTCGGCGGCGCTACCTCTGGGTAGTGGAGACGCATGCGAACACCCCCACTGGTGCCTTCGGTGGAGCTCCCTATGGGGCTACGAAACGCTGCCCTGGGTGGGGGAACCGCATGCAGGCAGCCCCACTGGTGCCTTCGGTGGAGCTCCCTGTGGGGCCACGAAACGCTGCCCTGGGTGGGGGAACCGCATGCGGGCACCCCCACTGGGGCCTACGGTGGAGCTCCCTCTGGGGCTACGAAACGCTGCCCTGGGTGGGGGAACCGCATGTGGGCAGCCCCACTGGGGCCTTCGGTGGAGCTCCCTCTGGGGCTACGAAACGCTGCCCTGGGTGGGGGAACCGCATGTGGACACCCCCACTGGGGCCTTCGGTGGAGCTCCCTCTGGGGCTACGAAACGTTGCCCTGGGTGGGGGAACCGCATGTGGACACCCCCACTGGGGCCTTCGGTGGAGCTCCCTCTGGGGCTACGAAACGCTGCGTGGGGGAACCGCATGTGGACACCCCCACTGGGGCCTTCGGTGGAGCTCCCTATGGGGCTACGAAACGCTGCCCTGGGTGGGGGAACCGCATGTGGACACCCCCTCTGGGGCCTTCGGTGGAGCTCCCTCTGGGGCTACGAAACGCTGCCCTGGGTGGGGGAACCGCATGCGGACACCCCCACTGGGGCCTTCGGTGGAGCTCCCTATGGGGCCACGAAACGCTGCCCTGGGTGGGGGAACCGCATGTGGACACCCCCACTGGGGCCTTCGGTGGAGCTCCCTCTGGGGCTACGAAACGCTGCCCTGGGTGGGGGAACCGCATGTGGACAACCCCACTGGGGCCTTCGGTGGAGCTCCCTATGGGGCCACGAAACGCTGCCCTGGGTGGGGGAACCGCATGTGGACACCCCCACTGGGGCCTTCGGTGGAGCTCCCTATGGGGCCACGAAACGCTGCCCTGGGTGGGGGAACCGCATGTGGACCCCCCCACTGGGGCCTTCGGTGGAGCTCCCTATGGGGCCACGAAACGCTGCCCTGGGTGGGGGAACCGCATGTGGACACCCCCACTGGGGCCTTCGGTGGAGCTCCCTATGGGGCCACGAAACGCTGCCCTGGGTGGGGGAACCGCATGTGGACACCCCCAATGGGGCCTTCGGTGGAGCTCCCTATGGGGCCACGAAGCGCTGCCCTGGGTGGGGGAACCGCATGTGGACACCCCCACTGGGGCCTTCGGTGGAGCTCCCTATGGGGCTACGAGGGGTTGCCGTGGGTGGGGGAACCGCATGTGGACACCCCCACTGGGGCCTTCGGTGGAGCTCCCTATGGGGCTACGAAACGCTGCGCTGGGTGGGGGAACCGCATGTGGACACCCCCACTGGGGCCTTCGGTGGAGCTCCCTATGGGGCTACGAAGCGCTGCCCTGGGTGGGGGACCGCATGTGGACACCCCCACTGGGGCCTTCGGGGGCTCCCTTGGGGCTACGAAACGCTGCCCTGGGTGGGGGAAACGATGTGGACACCCCCCCTGGGGCCTCGGTGGAGCTCCCTATGGGGCCACGAAACGCTGCCCTGGGTGGGGGAACCGCATGCGAACACCCCCACTGGGGCCTTCGGTGGATCCCTATGGGGCCACGAAACGCTGCCCTGGTGGGGGAACCGCATGCGAACACCCCCACTGGGGCCTTCGGTGGAGCTCCCTATGGGGCCACGAAACGCTGCCCTGGGTGGGGGAACCGCATGTGGACACCCCCACTGGGGCCTTCGGTGGAGCTCCCCATGGGGCCACAAAGCGCTGCCCTGGGTGGGGGAACCGCATGCGAACACCCCCACTGGGGCCTTCGGTGGAGCTCCATATGGGGCTACGAAACGCGTGAGGGTGTGCCGAGAGCAGAGGCAAGGAGGGGGAGGAGGGAGGAGGAGAGGAAGGAGGGAACGCGGGGCACCGTCTCTTCAAAACGAGGACCCAACACCACAGGATGGTTGGGAAAAAAATGTCAAAATTTCATCCCGCGCGCTTTTGCGGATTCGTAGGAAACCCAACATTTTTTTAAACATTTCTGTCAAACGGGCTTTTGCGAACAACTTTTTCGAACTTCTGCAACAACGGTTGCGCACCTGCCAGGGCCATCATCCCTGTCAAATAATACCATGCGGGACACATTCGTTTTTTCTTCGCGCGCGCACGCCGTCGTCGTCGGCCGCGGGGCCCTGAATAGTAGCCACGATCGTCCGCATGCCACGAAATGAAGTGTCCGAACGTCATAGGGCGGGAAGCTGGGTGTGGGTGGTGGCGAAGAGTCGTTTGGAAATTTGGTAGAGCTTGAACCGGCCCCCCCACAAAGTGGGGGTATTGCCCGCCTCCTATGAAAACCCTGGCACTGGTGAGAACGGAGTGTCCCCACGTGCTAGTAATTGTTGTTGTTGTTGTTGTTGCTGTTGTTGTTGCTGTTGAGTTTTCACTTCGGAAGAATGATTATTGGTGATCCCCCCTCACCGGTGCATGCTGTTTTTTCTCCATGAAAGTGTGCCCCTCGACGCTCGCACCCTGTTTTTTGACAGGGAAAGTCTTGGTGCTCAATCTGTGCTCCTGGCCCCCCGGATTACAACAACAACGGCTCCCGCCTGAGATTTCCTTTAAATT